CCCCAGGGGCAGGAAGTCAGCAGGGGTCATAGGATCCCAGCAAGATAAACATCCACATTTCTCTTTAAGGTGTTCAAAGTAGGTGCTTGAACCACCTCCAGCGGCAGTCTATTCCAGACCTTGGGGGTTCAGACTGTAAACAAGTTCTTCCTTATGTCCAGCCTGGAATGGTCACAGAAGAGTTTGTGACTGTTTGACCTTGTCATCCCTTGGGGCACTCTGGTGAACAGACATTCCCCCAGATCCTGGTGACCACCCCTGATAAACTTATAGGCGGCCAACAGATCACCCCTGAGCCTGTGCTTTTCCAGGCTGAAGAGTCCCGTGGCTCTCAGCCTCTCATCATAAGGTCTGTTTTCCTGACATCTGATCATGTGTGTGGCTCTCCTTTGGACTCTCTCATGCTTCTCCACATCCTTTTTGAATTGTGGAGTCCAAAACTGGATGTAGTACTCCAGCTGTAGCCTCACCAAGGCTGAGTACAACAGGAGAATGACGTCCTGGGATTTGCTTGAGAAGCATCTATGGATGCAAGCCAGCGTTTTGCTCGCTTTACTAGCCGCAGCATCACATTAAAGGCTCATGTTCATCTTGCGGTCAATCATGACCCCCAAGTCCTTTTCATCCGTAGTGCTAACCAGCGTAGCACTGCCGAGCCAGAAGCATGCTGTGGGTTTTTCTTCCCAAGGTGAAGAACCTTGCATTTTTTGGTGTTAAACACCATCAGGTTCTCATCTGCCCATTTGCTGAGCCTGTCAAGGTCAGCCTGGATTGCCCTCCTGTCCTCAGGTGCAGATGCTTTACCCCAAAGTCTGGTGTCGTCGACAAACTTAGCCAGTCCGCTTCTGATACCAATGCCTGCATCATTAATGAAGATGTTGAATAGTGTTGGCCCAAGGACAGAGCCTTGAGGGACCCCAGTGGTCACAGGACACCACGATGATTGACTTCCATCAACCAGCACCCTCTGGGTCCGACCACGGAGCCAATTCCCCAGCCAGAGGATTGTGGTGAAGCCGAGGCCGCATTTGACCAGTTTTGCTAAGAGGTAATCATGGGATACCAGATCGAAGGCTTTTTTTAAAGTCAAGATATACGACATCAATCTTTTCTCCCTTGTCCAGGTGATAGGTCACCTGGTCGTAGAAGGAAATAAGATTGGTCAGGCAAGACCTAACAGCAACAAACCCATGCTGGCTATCCCTCAGGATGCTGTCATCAGCCAGTCTGTTAAGAATGGCCTCTTTAATTTTTTCTAAGACCTTCCCTGGGATAGAGGTTAGCCTGATAGGCCTATAGTTTGCCAGATCCACTTTCCTCCCTTTCTTGAAGATAGGCACCACACTGGCCTTCTTCCAGTCTTCGAGCATTTCTCGGAGTGCCAGGAGGTCTCGAAGATCTGTGCCAGGGGCTGAGGCTTGCCACCTCCTTGAGTACGCTGGGGTGTAAACTGTCAGGGCCAGCTGACTTGAAGATGTCCATCCTCTCAAGGTGTTCCTTCACAAGGTCAGCATTGATGAAGGGTAAGGAATAACCCTCACCCAAGCATTCCTGTCCTGTAATGGACAGGGGCGCCCCTTTGGACTGGTGAAAAAACGATGCAAAGTACCCGTTTAGCAAGTTGGCTTTTTCCTGGGCATTAATTGTCAGTTGTCCCATTTGGTTTAGCAGGGGTCCGATGTTGCCTTTGCTTGTCTTCCAGCTCACAACATATCTAAAAAAGGACCTTTTATTGTCCTTGATACTTGTAGCTAGTTGGAGTTCAGTTGAAGCCTTGGCTTTTCTGGTTCACTCTCTGCAGGTCCGGACCAGTGCAGAATATTCTTCCTTGGAGGTGGATCCAGTCTTCCATCCTTTATAAGTCTTTCTTTTTAGATGCAGGAGGTCCACTAGCTCCCTGCAGAGCCAAGGGGGCTACTGTGCCCTTTTGATGCCTTTCCTCCAAGACAGAATAGACTTAGCTTGTGCATCCAGGGTTGCTCCCTTGAGGAGCAACCACTCATCCTGAACTCCCCTCCCCTTTGGGCCGTGGTCCCTTAAGGCCTCACTGACAAGCCTCCTGAGCTTGTCAAAGTCAGCTTTCCTGAAGTCAAGGACTTCTGTATTGCTAACTGACTCGCCAGCTTTACAGTGGACGGTGAAGGTGATCAGCTTGTGGTCTCTGTCACCCAGCTTGTCTTCGATCAACGGTTGCTGATTAGATTGTCCCCCGTAGCCAGTAACAGGTCAAGCAGCACTTTACCTCTCGTTGACCCGTCGACTTCTTGCATCAGGTAGAGCTCATCCACACATGAGAGAAAGCTTTGCGACTGTTCGGATTTGGCCGAGCACTCTTCCCGCGAGATGTCAGGGCAGTTGAAGTCTCCCATGACAACCATGCACCGGGAGCGTATAGCTTCAGTCAATTCATTGGTGAACTCCTGGTCAAGCTCTTGATCCTGGGTAGGAGGTCTGTAATAGACTCCCACCATTGTGTCCCCTGTGCCTTGTTCCCCACAGACTTTAACCCAGAGGGTCTCCAATCATCCACCCTGGTCGCCAATATCAGCTTGCAGGCATGCGTCACTTTCCTTAGCTACACCTCCACCCCTTTTGTCCACTCGATCTCTCCTGTACAGGGTATAGCCATCTATACCTGTGGTCCAGTCATGGGTGGAGTCCCACCAGGTCTCCGTTATCCCTATGACATCACAATTATTTGTGTTAAGCAGGAGGACAAGTTCCTCCTGTTTATTCCCCAAGCTCCTGGCATTTGTGTACAGGCACGCAAGTGTCCCTTTAAGGGTCCGCGCCTTCCCCACAGATCATTCCAGGGCTGGGGCAGGGGTAGGCTCCGTTAAGTGCCGTGACTTGCTGGCTTTGCAAGGGTTGCTCAGCGGGCCAGGAGTGGTGGTATTGCCCCCCCACCCCCCGATGGGCTTAGTTTAAAGCAGGTCAGCCAGTCTGGCTGAGAAGAGCCTCCTCCCCAGCGGAGACAGGTGGAGGCCGTCCCTTCCCAGCAGCTCGCTGCCTCTCTCACCAAAGAGCGGACTGTGGTCATGGAAGCTGAAGCCTTCCCAATGACACCAGTGCCGCAGTCTTTGGTTTACTACCTCAATCCTCCTCTCCCTCCTCAGCCTGTAGCCCGAGACTGGGAGGATCGAAGAAAACACCACTGGCACCCCCAACCCCTTTAGCCCCGCTCCCAAATCCCTGTAGTGCTTCATGACCCAGCTGGGATTGCTCCGAACCATGTCATTTGTGCCCACATGGATAAGGAGCATATGGTAGTGGTCAGTGGGCTGGAGGCATTCAGGAATCTTCTCCGCAATGTGTCAGATATGGGCTCCCAGGAAGCAGCAGACTTCCCAGGCTAAGGGCTTAAAGCAACAGAGAATCTGAACTTTAGTAGCTGCAACACTTTTTTATGGTGGGTTCATAAACTTGCCTACAGCACTAAGCCTCTTGTTTTCACAGTTGTTGTATAGTCTTCTACAGAGCTTCCTGAACTGTAGATCTTTCCAAGATGTGCTAGAAGACAGCACTGCTGCCACAGACCTCCTAAGGTCTGCAGTGTTTTTTTTATATCATGACCAACACAACCTGATGTGGTTCTCAATCTAAACAAACACGCAATATATTTGGCATGCTCTTAACTGTGCTTGGAATGTGTGTGTGTGCGCCCTTACGCTGGCCACTTGGAATTCTGCTCTATATTAATTGCTCACTTTTTACTGCAAGTACAAAAATTTTGGCTCCTGAGGGCAGGATTTCCTGACAAAAATGCAGATTTGCCCATCCTATGTTTACTCAACTGTATTTAAGAGTCTGGATTAGCTTCCTTAAAACTTTCCACAGCTGAAGCAGGAACAATTCTGGCCGGGTTGAATGGGATACCCAAGCAGGAGAGATACTCAGTGACTGTCTTCCTTTTTTTTTCTCTCCACAAAAAATTCTTTAGAACAGCTAAAATGTTTTGTACCTGCATACCTTTCTTCAGAAAGGATCAAGCATGGTGTAGAACTAAACTGTAAAACCAATTGTTAGCTTATGTACATATCCAGACAAAGATGCATCCTATTTTTCCTGAACAAGAGCTGTGCAATATTACTGAGAATACCGAACACCTGCTTCTGGTTTTCCAGTTACAGATTTCTGTTGCCTAGTAAAATTCAGGCTTTCCAACCTCTGTCAATTTTATGGATTCTTGCAGATGCCCATTTCCTCTCTGTTGTGGAATATGAACATGTATATTTCAATAACTGGACAACAGGCACAAATGTACCTAATACTTAGCCCAATCTGGACCTTTTTTTTTTTTTTTATCTTCCTGTTAATGTTTCACTTGACCAGACATTTGTAGCCAAAAGAATTTTATTGTTCCATATGGTTTCTTCGAGCACATGACTATTCCAGAAGTGTTTTAACAGAGGAATAACAGTCTACTAACAATTAGTGGACACAAATTATTTAGGTTTGTTTTTGTGGAACAATATTTGAACAAAAACTGAAGAGTAAATTCTAGATTGTAAATGTTCTCATTTAAAAAAAAAGCCATAGAGAGAATTATATCTCTACTTTGCCTTGCCTATAATCTTTTGAGAATCTGCTCCACAGGCCTTCAACAGATGCTCTGCTCTAGAGCCATGAAAAGTAATTCAAGGAAGGGGAGAGGCTCAGGGGGTGTGGTTCACATGCTTCAGCCCATATATGCTCAATTGTAGCCTGTGGAGAGTACATCTGGTTCAGGCATGGCCATGTGTGAGGCTTGATTTGGCCAAAATACAGGCTTACAATAGTTCTCTTTTTGCAGCTTTAATGTATGCCTGTTTTCTTGCCAAACTCAAATACTGCCAAAATTTGGCCAAAGATGTTTGCTGGATTGCACAATATTTAAAGTTTAAATCCAACAACACTTTGCAAAAACAACTGTATTGTGTCCTTTAATGTTTATAGATGTTAGCAATATTTAATTTTTAGTAGTATTTTAAGTTTACAATCTTACGTTTGCAGTAAATTACCTTTGAAAGGTTCTTTCCATTAGCTGTAAGTGTCACGAGTCCTGCACAGCACACCAAGGCACTGGAGCTAGATAGACCAGAACTTGGTGGGATGGTTCCATCTAACAGACAATTCATTCCAGTTGGGTTATTAAGACCAAAATGTTCCTAACAATGAAAAAACAAACAATCTCAGCATCGAGTAGAGACAGCCTTCAATTTGCAAATATCCTATGCTTAGGAAGAGAGTTTCTCCTGATTTAAATTTCTGATGTCACCAAAAAGAGGGTGTGTTAAAGTTTTAACATTTTCTTTTTCTAGCCCTTGAAAACCAAGACCACGGGTACACTTACACTGCAAAGGTATGAATGCAGCCTGTGCTAACTCAGGGATTGATAGCAGTGTAGCTGCAGAAGCACAGGACTCATCATAGGCCAGCCACCCAAATATTAACCCAGCTTTTGCAGCTTCCACTAAGTAACTGTGGCTATACTGTTGGTCCCTCAGCCAGCTCATTGAATATAGCTCATATATGTCTCCATGAGGTGCAATAACACCTAGACTGCAGCGTAGACATACCTTTAATAAAAATTTGTAGAGAAGTGCGTGAGCACAAAGTTTTAAGATCATTTCAATCTGTGATCTATCTTAACACCCACGCTCTCTCAAAGAATTCTTGAAGTCTGATATTTTGCCTGCCCAGGAGAATTTTGAGGCAGACAAGTTTGTTTGTTTTTTAAGTTACATGGTTTAAAACTAAAACAGTGGTAGTTTTATCCCAGTCTTGAAAGCTAGCTAGACTGCCATGATAGCAGCTATTTTTTAGTTAATCCAATTTTTTCAATTAATATTTTAAACCCCCCCCAGATATTTAGAGTCTGTTTTGGCTCTCTTAAGAGAGGTGCTAACAGAGCACTGCTGGTCCTCCCCCCCCCGACACTTTACTACTACTCAGGCACTGTTCTGTTAAGTTATCCCCAAATTCTGGTGCTCCTGATACAGGATTGTTCCAGATCCAATATTCTGTATTTGTAATCCAAATTGTGTGGAAATGTGCAGAAGATCATCACACTGTTGAATTTTAAGGTACATTTTAGTGATATGGTAGTTTTACAAGTTTCCAAATAGCATTAGCAAATAGGAATGCCAACTCTGAATAATATAGACAATAAATATTAGGGGCGTGCAAAGCAGGCTGTATTTGATTCGGATTTGGCCTGATTTGAGGGACAGTGATTCAATTTGTTGATTCGGATCATTGTCCTGATTCAATTAGCCCGAATCTGAAGATGCAATTCTGATTCGGAGAATCAGCTATTCGGCAATAGACACAGCTTTAAATGTATTTTTTACATACCTCAAGGTACCAGGCATGGTTCATGAATGCTGCGATGCTGGGGCGGATGGAGCGTCCCACAGGAGCACAGAGGGGGCCCCCACGTGCTCGGTGGCAGACCCAGGAGTGAACTGAAAGTACTTCCGGTCCACTTCTGGGTCTGCTGCTGAGTACGCGGGGGACCTCCCCACGCCTCCCCAGCTGAGCGATCGGCCATGGGGGGACCCTGGGTGCCCCCCCAGACCCAGGAGGCACCAGTTGCTGAGGTGGGGGAGGGGGGGCCCTGTGCACTGCACAGCAGACCCAGAAGTGGACTGAAAGTGCTTCTGGTCCACTTCCGGGTCCACCGCCGAGCGCACTGGGGACCCCGCCATGCTTCTATGGAATGCACCACCCGCCCCACCATCTTGGCATTCATGAGGTATGTAGAGAAAACATTTAAAGTTGTGTCTATGTCTGAATCATCAAATCTTTCCGAAGCTCTCCGAATTGATTCGGAGAGATTAAAGGGTCTCCTGATTTGATTCAGATTCGGAGATTCGGCTGCCAAATCAGGCCGAATCTCCACTGAATTGAATTGGCAACCAAAGCTTCGCACAGCCCTAATACAACTATATATTTATTAGCATCTGAAAGAAAAAAGATGGCTATAACATTGGTTCAGCTACATCTACGGTACTGTGGAGTCGCCTTTTCTGTTATTAACTACTTAATATATATTATACATACACACAAACATATATAGTAAATGATAGTGGGGAGTAATAGAAGTATTTTTACAAATTAGAAGTGACATTTCCTAATTCTCAAGTGGCTGAGCTTATGTGAAACTGCTCTCCTTTTAATAATATATTTCACTCTATTTCTTTTGATAACAGTGAAGTATTTTTTATATTTCACTGTCAAAATATAATGAATTTGTATGTGCATATATACACAAGATATATTTTTCATGTTTCATTCATAGATCTCAAAGCACCATAAAAACATGGTATTTCATTTTAACAGTTCTATTGTTCTTCAGAATAAGTTATATATATATATATATATATATATATATATATATATAAATATCAACATATCACATGCATAAATGGTATAAATATATATAACATATATTTGTGTCAGTGAAGATTTATATGCTAATCTATATGCTAGATATATGCTAATAAGCTATGTAATAATCATCATAAACAGAAAAATACCAATATTTCTAAAAAGAAATTCATCTAAAAATATTTCTAAGTCTTCTCCTAAAGTACACCCAACAATAGGTAACAACGGCGGAGTTTGAGAAAAACATAAGAAAACAGTTCTTGCTGGATGTGTCCCATAGCCACTATAAATTATCTAAAAATTTCCTTTCCAGAAATACAAACAAATTATTAATTGAAATGCTATTGCTGCCAATGTCCTTTCATGAAGAACATCAGACAAACTTGTTTTAAAAAAAGCACTTGAGTAATGTATTTAAACAGAAACTGATCCACTGTATTCTCTTGCATGTGAATCAGACTTGCAAACTTATCACGCGATGTTTAAATAAAAAAAACTTACTCCAGTTTCAAAAATGAATATGGACTGTGCCAAGTTCTGCAATAGTTGTATCCCAAAGGATAACATGTTCAATTTAATATAAACAGATTATCCTGTTGGACCTTCTTCATACTTGCCTTTCCATGTTCTTAAAAGTCTGTAACTTTTATGCTTTCTTTCTGCCAGCATAAACCTGTTTTGCATATTAACCATCAAGTATCAAAACTTGTTCCTAAGTCACAAATCTCAAAAGCAAGTTCTAAACTAAGTAGAGCCACTGAGGTAATGTTATCCATGCTGCAAGAAAAAACATACGGCTGTAAATAAAGTGAGGCTAAATATGCAAAGTGAATACAATTCCAATAAATGCTTTCCTTATGGAGTAATGTAAAACTGAAACTGTTCACCTTACTGGAAATATGAGTGAGTAGGGATTGAAACACATAGGGTTGTAATTTAGGAATTTTATATGGAAATAAAAATATTTTTTGTGAAAATGATTGTAAAGTATAACACATTTTAAAGACACTAAAAAAACAGATACGTGAAAGTATTTACCTAATGCCTAAGTAGTAGTTAGGCACATTAAGCACTTTTACACATGCTCTGGGGGTGAGTGGGAGGTGCTTTAATTTGCACTTGAGTGGCTCTGAGAGGCGCTCTAATTTAAAGCACCGCCGCATCTCGTGTATCAGCATCCCTGCATTTAAAAATGGCAGCAGGGGTCATTCGAGCTTTAGTTCAAATGCCTCCACCACCATTTTAAACACGGGGACACTGATACACGAGACACAGGAGGCTGCTGGAGCGCAGTAATTGCCATGATCCAGCAGACTTGATTAATTGAGTCTGCTCCAACACACTGTAATTACAGCGCGTTGGAGCAGCCTCCACACTCACGTACAGGCACCCCAAAATACCTTCTGTGAATCTAGGCCTAATTAAACTATAGAAATGTCAAAGATTAATTCAGAAGTAGATGTATATTGCAGTATATTTCCTCTTTGCCCAGTAAAAATCTCTCTCATTTTGATCCATATACACTTTTAAAAAGCCACAGTCAAGATAAAAGGGAAGGATTTTTCACAATCACGTAAGTGAATTAGAAGAATGGCTCCTGCTGATTAGCAATTACACTTAAGCTCCTTATTAGACCTGATCAGGATTTTTAAAGACTTGTTAGATTAGAAAGTAGCTAATCATCTACTCTGGAAGTCTTCAGAGGAAAAGGTTGCTTTTGACCCATTCCCCTTTTGAAAAAAATTTGGAAAAAAGCTTTGAAAGTGTTGAAATGTCCCTTCTCACGATTTTTAAATCAATACCTTCATTTTTTTTCATTTAGGATTACTTTTCTTTTAAAAAATTAAGTAAATTTAAGTGTGGCGGTGAAACACCACCACAGGCTCCTGAAGGGGAGAGAGTAAATCCCGTGGGCCCCGTACCCCGGGAGCAGACCCCTGGTAGGGATGACTCACCTCCCGCAGGGCAGCTGAAACGGGAGCCGCAACCGCGGCCACAGCCACACGAACCAGTGTTACACCGGCTGTTTAATCAGCTGTTTCCGGCACAGGAAACAGCTGGACCAATCCCAGCAGCTGTACCGGCTGCTGCAGGAAAGTTTAAAAGCCCCACCGGAACTAGGGCGGGGAGAGAGCCGGAGAAGGAGGGCATGGGCCAGCAGCTCACTGGCGTGCTGCGGCTCCAGAGCAGGAAGCGAGCGACACAGCCTACGCAACTCCCGCAGGCAACACCAGGGAGATCTTTAAGCCCCCTGCCGGAGGCAAAGCAGGGGCATCCCTCCAACTCCTGGCGGAAGCGGAGGCCGAGGAGGCAGGGGAGTTCCTTGTAGACAGCACGAGGGAGGAAGCATTTGAGCCCCCTGGAGGAGGCAGGGGTAGAGGAGACAGCTCTGCAGCCCTCTTCTCCTCAGGGGAATATTTTTTTTTTAATTAAGATAAACCCTGAGAAGGGGGGAAAAGCCACCACAACCAAGAAGGCAGGCCCTAGGCCACCCTACAGGGCCGAAGATCATTACTGATAGACATCCACCCAGTTGGCGAGTGGATGGGGTGTAGGGGAGGCAGAGCCCCGTGGAACATTGCGCCAAACAACCATAAGTACTGCCGGCCGTTGGGAGAGCTCCCCGGGAAGATCTCCACTGGGAAAAAAGCCGTCTCCTAGTTGTTTTTTTCATCAAAGCTGTGGCAGGTGAGTTGAGGGGAGGGGCTACACCCCGACAGGCCGGGCGGCATGAAGGGCGCAAAACGCCACATTAAGTTTTAAAAATTTTTAAGGTAAAAAAAATTACACTTACAAAATTGTCAAAATAGTGCTCTGATGGACCCAATCTAAATATTTTTTTCAGATGTTCAGTTCACAAAGAATTCATGATTCTTTTTATCCCAATTCAAAATTCTTATCGGATTAGGAAACTTTCCTACCAAGCTCTACTTTTAGTTTATATAAGAACTTCTGAAAATCCCAAATAAAAACAAAACATTAAAAAACACATCTCTAATAACTTATAGTAGACTATTGAAGTTGAAAGTCCCTTAAATCTAATGTACAATGTCTGCTTTATGCAGTTTACTTCTTTTACATATTTCTTCCGCCTTAAATGAGCAATAAAATAGGTTAGTATAACTACCAATTCTCATGCATTACCTGCATGTGTGTTTCCAATATTCTTGAGAATTACTTAATTTAAAAATGCTTTCCCTGGGGAAAAAAAATCATTTTAGATTCCATTTATCAAACCCTCAGACCTATTTAAAGTGTGTTTTCTATGTTCTGCAGTCTCCTTTTAACTTTAAAATAGAAGAATGTAAACCAGAAACAGACTATGAGCTTGACCATGACCTCACTGACATTGTTCTGTATAATATTTTTTTCAAAAGTGTGATGTAAGTCCAGGAAGAGCACACACCAACTGCTGCAGCTTCCTTAGCCTGACGAAGGGTTTTTGAACCCGAAAGCTTGCTTAATAACTATTCCCCAACTATTTGGGTTGGTCTAATAAAAGATATCAAATTCACGCAAGGCACCTTGTCTGCCTGTGTAAGTCGAGTGTTTTTACAATAATTTCCACACAAAACAAATAACAAATTCAAATTTTAAAAGAAACATGAAGTACTTTACTTAAAAATCTACAAATTATGGTAATAAAACATTTATGAGGTATATGAGTAAAACTGTCATATTAAACTTATTATGATATATTTATTATAATATACAAATCATATCGTAATCTTAAACATTGGCTCTCAATAGGATATGTGCATTAAACAAATTTGCTTTACCTGAATTCCTTTCAATCCACATAAGAAGTAGTTGTGCCACAGAGGTTTTGTTTGGTTAATCTGAATGTTATTAACGCTAGTACTGAAATCCCTGCAAAAAAGTAATGTGAGATGTAATATCAGTAAATTTAGTTAGTTAAAAAAATATAGCTTACTGCTGCCACCTGCTGATGAAATTGCAGCATTAACATTTTATCCTGAACATTTTTCCAATACACTATGTATTGCCTTCTATTTCTCTGTCTCTACTTCCATCTTATGGATCATAATTTCTAAAAGCTTGTTAAACAGAGGCATAGCTAATAGGTCCAACTTATTATAAAACAAGTTATACAAAAATATGTTCGTGGCTTTTTAAAAATTCTGTTGGAAACAGCTCATGGGGAAACAGCTTTTAAAACATGCAAACAAAATGCACTTTTTACATTTGCAAGCCAAATATTGTAGCATTGCAGTAGAAACTTCAGCACCTGAAAAAGAAGATGACTCCTAATCAGATGAATGATTACAAAAATAGTAAGACTAGTTAGACTACTAGCTGGAAGCACTCAGCTTGCAGTAATCAATCCCATCTTAGTCTCACTCGCAGATACATGGTAAAGCAGTGGAGTCAAATGTATAGCTTGCAGGTTGAATCTGGCCTGCAAAGCCACTCTGTCCCATCCACTGAGCTACTAGCGGGCCACTAGAAGGCAGGGGATGTGGTCAGTGAAGTGGCCTGCAGCTGAATCCAGGGGACTCAGAGCTCGGTGGACATGGCGATCAGCAGCAGGAAGACAACAGACCCTGGTTGTCCTCTGGATGCCTTTCCTGTTGTCAGCGCCTCGGCCCTACCTCTCTAGCTGCTGGCCCCTGCCACATGCCCCATGCTGGAGTCGGAGCTCCTGCTGTGGCACAGGGGTTGAGGTGGCAGTAGCTCCATCTCTGGCATGAGACACCCAACAGACTAGAGCTGCCGCTGAGTGCCCTGGGTTGGGGCTGGAGGTACTGCTGCCACCGCTTCCTCACACCCTGTACTCAGTCCAACCTGCAAGGAGCCCCATAGTTCAGATCTGGCTTGAGGCACAAAGTGAGTTTGACACTACTGTGTTAATATATATACATTAAAATCTATGACCATGTCCTCCTTTAGAAAAGATTTCAAGCTAGGTCTGCTCAGAAATTCCAAACACAGATGACTGCAAGACCAAGAGAGGATGAAGGCAGATGGACATAAAGGCTAGGTTCAAACATTCAAAACGCTCAAGGGGAAATTGATCTAAGCTATGCGGGTTTTTGTAAGCGGCATAATTTAGATCTGTAGCAAACAGAACACACATTTGCCTGGGGAAGGGGGGAGCCAATCTTAAACCAGTTTCTCCCATTTTTTAACCAGTCTACATGTGCCAAACTTCTGTTATGGGTATAGATTGGTTTTGTGTGCTGAACTTCTGTTTCATTATGGGTACAGACTGGTTTCCGATCACTTATACCAATAAAAGTATAATATCTGTACCTGGCCAAAGAGGTAGTTAGTGTGGGACAAGGGAAGGCAGTAGAAATAGAAAAAACAGACAGCTGTGTAAGATCCTGGAAGTGAAGACAAAGAGGTATAATGGGATACAGGGAACAAGGGGAGAGACCAGGGAAAGGATTTGAAATGGGACAGATTTAACAAATATGAGGCGGCGAGTAACAAAACTACAGGTGCCAATTTAAGAGGGGACACCAGTTTGGCAACCCTGGGGAACCTGCACCAAACAGCCTACTACTGGAGGCCACTCCCCAGCCCAAGCCACTGGGGTGGAGGGAGCCCAGATATAGCAGGTAAAACTCTGGCCCCCGCTTGGCTCCTCCCCAACACTCCCCCACTGGCATAACTTCCATCCTGCTCTGCCCAGTGCACCAAAGGAGCTTGCTATGCCTCTGTTGGAGGTACATGGGGCAAGATGTCTAATTTGAAGACAACTGGCCAAGGAGGATTCCATCAGAAGAATAACATTTTATTTGTATTTGTACATCACCTAGTCCTAGCTCATGTCTAGGATTCCTGGGCACTGTGTTAATATAAAGAATTATAATACATCTCTGTTAAGCAGCACTAAAGATTGTTATGAGAGGGGAAGGATATAAAAAGGGTAATATAATTCCCTTTCAAGAGATATGAGATGAACTTTAAGGCTAGAGACAGATGTTCAGAAAGTCAGGGCCTGAACTGATTCAATCTTTGCAGGTTAATTTAACCTTCCTTGATTGAACCAATTTGCAAGTGAATAGACATTCATGAAATGTAGGCACATGCCTGCAGTGGCTCAGGCCAGGAGCCCGGGTGTGGGGGTTACAAGAGCAGCCCTCAGCTGCAGGGAAGCTGTGCTGGGAAAATGTGGCCAGCCCTGGCAGTAGCTTGGAGTGAACTGGCCAGGGAGGGAGTTTAATTCCCCTCGCTTGCACTCCAGGACACCGTGACAGAGTGCAGCCATCATCAGGGTTACTCCTGCTTCACCACTCCTTGGGCGAGGCCAGAGGCCGGCCAGTATGACTCCCTTAAGCTGGGAGGTAGAGAGGGGTTATTCCTCTGCACCGGGGGGGACCACAGTGGGGTCTGCTCGCCCCGACCACCACTACCAGCGGGATAAGCCCCCTCCACCAGAGGCAGAAGGGAAATGTCCCCCTCCCTGCCCTGCCCCCCACCTAAGGGGGCCATGCCAGCCAGCCAGCCTCTGGCCATGCCCCGTCCCTGCCCCTGGCGCAGCAAGGGGGGAGTGAACCTGATGGCTGCAGCCCCTGTCACAGTGTCCCAGAGTGCGAGCCTCTTCCTGGTGGTGGGGCCGCTCTCTGGGCAGAGCAGGGCAGGGAAAGCTGCTGCGGACTATGTGGGGTGAGCATCAGTGTCAGCACTAAAAGAACTTGGGGGCTTTGGCCCCCTCCAAGCCCCAGTGTTGCCGCTCGCCCCACGCAGTCTGCTGTAGCTCTGACCCTCCGATTGCAGACCCCACACTGGGAAGAGGCTCATGCTCCCCAGACACCAGGATGGGGGCAGCTGCCTCATCAGGCACTGCCCCCTCTCCACTCCAGCAGCAGGGTTGGGGGCCCAGCCAGAGGCCAGCTGCCAGAGCCCCTTAGGCAAAGGGGCAGGGGGGGGTTATTTCCCCTTCCCTCTGGCCTCTGGCAGACGGAACAAAGCAGGGGCTTATCCCACTGCTCGGCCCGCACAGGGAGCAAGCGGCACTGGTGGCAGTCAGGGCAGGCAGACCCCGGCTACAGTCCTCTGGGAGTAGAGCAGGGAATAACCCCTGTCTCTGCCCCTTCTGCTCAGGGGCCATGGCCTGACCCCACCACTGTAGCAGAGAGGGGGAAGCCCCAGGCGGACCCTGGCTCAGGTTGTACTGGTGTGACAGAGTGGGGAATTAAACCCCCTCCCTGGCCAATTCACTCCAAGCTACTGCCAGGGCTGGCCACGCCCCTGCCGCTGGAGCAGCCAGCAGAGAAATGTAGGTCTGCACCAGTGGGATGGAGGGGGAATAAGCCTCTTCCCTGCTCCCTTCCGGGGCCAGCATCTGGCCAGGCCCCCGTCCCTGCCTGTCCCTGCTCCAGCTAGGGGGCAGGGGTGCAGGGCCAGCCCTGCTCTGCTGGAGCAGATCACCCAGCACAAAGAGCATGCCAGGATGCTGCGGGACTCTGGTTTAACTTAAACCAGGACAGGGTCTGGGACAGAAGTTGCATAAACCAGTTTGAGCTCAATCAGTTAAGTCTGATACTACATTCAACCAGGTTTATCTCAAACTGGTTTTGGCCATTTTGAAACTGGTTTATGTGCAGTGAACTTATGATCTGTTTCAGGTTTAAAGCAGTTTCTGATCACTTAAACTGGTTTATGTGTAATGTCTGTCCCTCGCCTAAGGCACTGCACAGCCTAGATTCTAATTCCAATCCAGTTCACTACCAGTAGCAAGACTGCTTTTAGTAATTAAAGAAAGCAAAATGCAAATTTTAAAATCAAGGAATTACTTTCTCTACATCAAGAGCTATGATTTGGGCTTTAAAAAGTGTTCCAAGTTGTCTTGTGACAGTCACTAGGACAAATAAATACAGCCTGATCCTGTAAGAAGAAAATCAACTACAAAGTGCTGAATGTCTTCTACTCCCATTTACCAACAGTGAGAGCTCAGAATCTGCAAATCCAGCAACTGTGAAGTAACCACAAAAAAACCATGGAGTGATAGAGCTAGGGCATTTATAATGTGCTGCAGGAGTTGTGGGGGGTAGCACTTTAACTAGAGCGGCTCTGAGAGCTGCTCTTATTAAAGTGCCCATAGCGTCACATGTATCAGCATCTCCACACTGAAAAATGGTGGGGGCGGTTGCTTTAACTAAAGCTCGTCAAATGAGCTTTAGTTAAAGTGATGACTGTAGTTAAAGCGTAATTACCATGCTCCAGGTGACACTATTAATTGAGTCTGCTCTGACGTGCTGTAATTACAGCCTGCCAGAGCAGCCCCATACACATATATAGGTGCCCATAGTGCCTAATCTAGATTTGAAAACATCTTAGTACCTTCCTAACTCTGTTGTTGGTGAAGTCCAAGACTGCTGGGAATACTTTGATTGTGCAGAATATCTCCTCTGCAAGCTGATTCTTATTAACAATAATTTTTCTTAGTAATAGACACCCAAACATGGAAGCACCCCTATTCCTATTCAAAACAGCACTTATTTAAGATGTGTAAATGTTGTCCTGAACATGGACAGGGCGTAAGGGAAGTGAAAGACTAACAAAAAAGGTCTTATCCCTTTAAATGTGCATAACAATTTCATTTTAGAGCTTTATCTGCTCTTCCAAACCTTGATCAAGGCTTTCTTTTTCATTACTTTTGATCTGCTTGCTGAAGCACATTTGAATTTTCCATTTTGAACTGGTAAAATCTTTACCATGTTTATTTACAGACTGTAATTCCAATAGTAACTTTTCCTACTGATGTATTTTGAACCTCCAAATATAAATTTTGAAGGTACAAAAGATAATCTTTGGAATATTTTGTTTCTCATTTAATTAAAATGTCCTAAATCTGAATACTGCTACAGGAATTATTGCTCCAGATAAATATTGTGGCTTCCTATCCCAATGATGTCCACACTGCATTTTTCTGTACAAAGAGTACATGCATAAGAAAGTGTGCTATCATTTAGAAACTGGAGTTAATCTGCATCACTAAACAGGACATGACTGGGTCTACCTGATGCTGGTTCTGCAATGGTAAATCAGCACAAGAAGTACTCAGGAGGTCAGGAAGGGCTAATGAAGGTTATTCAAGCATTATGACAAACTAGATTTCTTGAAGTACAATCTACTATGATAGGGTGCAGCCTCTGGACTCCTCAGAGGCATTTTGGCTAACACCGCAAAATCTTTTCTAGGGGCTTTAAGGGAAGAGATGATCTATTATCCTTGCGTAGGCTGCAAATTATGCTTCTTACACTGGTTTAGAAATGGCCAACACTTTTTTTTTTTTACTGGCTTAGCCATCTACACTAATGGTGTGATAGTCTTACCAAAATAGTTGAACTAGTATAAGCTCTTAATTTGGCAATGTATATTTCTAGCCTGATACATCACATATTCTCAGGTGTGAATTTAAATGCTTATACTGTGTCTACTTGGAGCTACCTTTCTTTCTGCTTTTCGATCTCATAACCTGAACTTTCCTTCCTAATTACTCTTTAGGCCTTCTAGCTATATGCCAAACTACCTCAGTCTGCTCCCGCTCAGCTTTTCTTCTATTGTTGTCAGATCCCTATTTTCTCACATGAACTTTCTTGATAACTCCCTAGATCTACCACAGTATCGTCATGAGTACAGATCAAATAAAAAAGAAAAATTCATAACCAGGAGGCTGCAATATTTTTATTTAACTGAGATCAAAAAGGAGGTAGTTTGGTCATGAGTCGAACTGGTAGGGTCGGAGGGAATGTCCTACTACCTCAAAATGTCCCAAAATTGTCAAGAAGTATCTGTTGATTGTCAAGGGGGTGTGCCCTAGAAAGCAGTTTTTCCCTTGCTCTATTCCCTTTGCATTCATCTGTGACATGCAAAAACTTCAGAAGCTTCATCTCAGTTGCACATTCTCTCCCCCTCAATGAGCTGCTCCATATTGTATAAATAATTAAATATTCAGTGGGTCAGGAAGTGAGAATGGCAGAGTAAGATTTCAACCTGAGTCTTCTGCACCACAAGGTACCCCTAACCACTGGTTTACTGCAATATTTAATTTCTCTGTCATACCTTTAAAAAAATGTAAAAGGTTTAATTTTCCATTCTGATGCAAAATAAAAAGCAATCTTTAAACTGCTTATGTGCAGGGTACCTTCAGGGCCCTAACTAGAGGCAGCACACTATAATGAAAAGTAATGTATGCATATACGCGTAGATGAACAAGCATTATAATGAAATCATTATATATGTTTGTTATGGTGTACCCAAATGAGCTGTCTTATTTATTTAGATATTATCCATGCCCATGTTCAACTGTTAGTATCAGCTATCCTGTTGAGGGCACAAGCTGACCAAATGAATTTTTACCTCTTTAATTCTTGAAGACATTGCCTAACAAAGAATGCTTTTTTTTTTTCCTTTTCAAAGAATGCTTGGGAAACTTTACCTTTGCTGCAAGGCTAGACATGAGAATTCATGTGCATGTGTATCAGGTAGTGAGGTGTTTTTATGAGAAGTGATTATCTGATTGATATTCCGTCTCGCCTTCACTGCTATTTAATCCTTGTTTTTTCTGGACAATTTGGCTCGTTATCACAGTACTCCGTCTGTTTGTCAACTGAAATTTCAATCTGCTACCTGAAATTTAAGAGCAGTCAGCTAATGACTGATTTTTTTCAATACAAGGCTTTCATAACTGCCATGAGACGGATAATCAGCTAGCTGTTATTATTCTGAAGTATTTCCCAGAACACTCCTCAAAGTGTTTTATCAAGATAGTCTCTACACTTACATTCTTAACTACAATGCATTAGGCTAGTGAGGAGTAGCCTTGAGGACCTGAAAGTTGAACAGTTCTTGAATGGGCTTTTAGTCCAACCGAAATCAAAGGGCACTTTGTTACATGAGAAGCTTTTAAGATCTGAGAAGGTGACTCTTTACAACCTGTTCTCTGTTATGTCTTTCCCATAAGTTAAAACAAACTCTAAGTGAAAGAGGCTTGCAACAGTATGAAACATTTCAGCAGTATGTAAAATCAAAGATGAACTAGGGAAGGAGTAAGACTACTGAGGCTTGTGGTTAAAGCCTTGTTAGCAAAGGTCACATGCTTTTCATTCACCACAAGCATAGGCCCTAGTGCTGTTACAGATTGGAAGAAGATAAAGCAAGTTAAAGGCAATTGTTGATATATAAAGCCTCAGAAGCATTGAAAGATATACTCCGTTTTGATGAACTATGTGGATATATTTTGGCTTTACTTATAACTAGGAGAGTTTCTTCAGTAAAGCAGAGATGCTATCTGCTGTATTCGGAAAGCTTACCTTCTAGGCCTAAACCATATGGTTCCAAATTGAAGCCAACAAAGCTATAAAATCTACTGAACATGCATGCAATTTTAATTCAAGAGCTATATCTAGGTTTAATTAACTTTAATTACTTTAACAAAAACTCATTTAGGTTATTTGATGTGCCAAGCTCTGGCTCAGACAGTCAAGTCTCACCGCGCTTTTATTTTCTGCCACCCTTTCAGATACAACCGAATGTAAATGCTTTTCTAATTGAGAGAGATCCCATTCATTTATATGGCCCTGGTCACATACCATCTGAATTTCAGGAGACTGCTGATGACTGTAGACAACAGGCCTAATTTAAATCTGGAATTTAAAATTCCAGATTCTCAACAGCTAAACCTTCAGTGAAAATATTTCTAAAGTCCATAGAGATCTTGAGAGAAGTGGTATGTGAGGGGAAACTTAAACAAAGAGGTGAAGAGAAATAGTAGATCTGGCCTTTTGGGCCAGTATAGGCAGTATAATTAGTAGCAATGATATTCCATCCAGTGAGGTAATATACTATTGTATACATTTAATTTGCAACCATATCATTTTGTATTGTTAGCCTGCTAGAGATCACAAGAGCTCACTTATATTACAATTATCATATAAATTAGCATAAAAAAACAAGTATCATACTTACAAGTACAAAGGGTTTGTATTCGCCAGTTGGATAACTTGAGTTTTTACAGGTTCCACCATTATAAGTATATCTTGTTCTACAGCCATAGGTAACACCGCATACCCGCAGTAATCTATATGCTCTCCTAAAAACGAGCAGAATTCCAGCATTTTTTAATAATGCTTGTTATAATCAGCTGTCCAGAAAAAATATGCTCAATTCTAAATGCCAGAGGCACCAAGTACATGGGGGCCTGAGGCCCAGCACCCTCACCCACCTCGGGAAGGGGCTGGCACCTAAAATGTGTAAAACTTTCCACATCTCCATCATCTTAGCCCCCAGCCAGCAAAAACAAAAGTTGGCACCTATGCTAAAGGCTATTACAGAAATGCAAATTTCTTAATAGTCTACATTGTAAAATATGTACACTACAACTCTACTTATTTCATTAATTTTAGTGGATGTCTTCTCCACTTTTTAAACTCTATATTAGTGCAAAATAGTTTAACATTTCTCCAGGGATATTGTCTACTACATCACTTTTTAAAATGTTATGTTCTTTAACATAGTTACATGAAATCATAGACTTAGAAAAAGATTGTTGACTAGTAGTTAGAACAAGGAAACTAATTGTGCTTCATATGTAACTAATAAAACTAGCAAAATAAGCAACTTAAATCATTTTCATTAAGTGGTAGCAAATATGCAGTGCAGAAAAATGCAATGCATGATCCCTTCTTGTGACATTCTCAACTGATCTTGGATGACTCATTAGCCAGTGAATCAGGCTTATGCAGGAATTTTTTGCCAAACTATTCCTGGACTTTTTCCAATAAATAATAATGATATTTAATCACCCTTAATACAGTTATTCACAAGATACAAAATGACATTTAAAAAGAAAATGGACACAGTACGTACCCATCTCTTAGTAATAATTTTCAGTTAGCATCTGTTCCCCACTCTGATTATCTTACAGAAAACCATAGGAAAAATTGCAATTGACTGCACACAGACTAATTTATTTGTAATGTGTATTTGTAATGATTCCTTTCACTGAGAAAGTCATCTGATCAGCTGGATCACATTTTAATTGTTTGGGGATCTGTTACCTAAGAAAGGGTATGATCATAAAAAGATAAATGCCAGAAGGAAGCCGTAAAACAAACTTGTGAAATAAATAACTACACCATACCCCTAGACCTGAAATGGACCTGAAATTAGCTATTCTAATCACTCTGGGCACAACTGTGTAGCACATCTGCAGAATAAGAGAGAGGGGATTGCAGGAAATGATGTCTTACTTTTATCAAAGTGTAATACTCAGTGCCTGAAGACATGCTGGGTCTGAAGATTTAAACTGAGGTACTGAGAAAAATACAGACTAATTTCATGAACCCATCTTAGAGATATCTTCTGGTAGGGTTACCATACACCCAGGTTCTCCCAGACATGTCCTCTTTTTAAATCCTTCTATCTCCATCTAGTCAGTTTTAAATTTTTTTTTAAATATAGTCAAATGTCAGGATTTTGCTCTGCTCACCTTCAAAGTTTTTCCTGGCACCTCCCTGCTTGCCCTAGGAAGGAGCAGGTGAGGTGCCTTCCCCTCCAGCAGGGGAAGGGGGTGGGAGGGCCTTCAGGGGCAGCAGGGAACTGCATGGCTGACCTAATGGCACTGCAGCCAGTGCCTATGCTCACAGAGGCAGGGCTGGTAGGAGCAGGGGGCTGTGGTTTGGGAGTGAGCGGCACCAGCAGGGCTGTGGGGGCTCTGGCTTGGGAGTGAGGGGCACCGGGGGTGGGGTGGAGGGGGGGACAGACAGACGACAGGGCATTGGGAGGGCAGGGCACTGGCAGCACCAGGGAGTTGCTGTTCAGGAGTGAGGGGCACCGGGGGTGGGGTGGAGGGGGGGACAGACAGACGACAGGGCATTGGGAGGGCAGGGCACTGGCAGCACCAGGGAGTTGCTGTTCAGGAGTGAGGGGCACCAGCAAGGATGTTGGGGCTGCAGGTTGGGAGGGAGGGGCTCCAGCATAGCCCAGGGAAGCAGGGTTCTGTAGTTTGGGCGGGAGTGGTACTGGCAGGGCTGGGATCTATGGGTCAGGAATGAGGGGCAGCAGCAGGGCTAGAGTCCTCTTTTTTGGAACTGGAAATATGGTAACCCTATTTTCAGTGAATCCACCATCTCCCACTTACCTTATACTGTGGGATACAAATAGCTCTTGGGAAATGCACCCTAAATCCAACGAGGCAAGATACTTAAATTTGTAAGCTGACTTTATTCAAAACAACACTTAAAATACTAAGACAAGCATGTTGCAAAGTTCTGTCTTCTCCCCATGTATGACTTTATCAAGCATTGACTCTTTCTCTGACAACCCACAAGAACAAACAAATAATCAAAACCAAAAAAATTAATCTATGTCCCCATGATGCAAGATAAAATAAAATCAAAAGAATAATATGCCTATTACCTATTAAGTTGACTCGTCCTGGTGCACGAACATAAAACTTGGGAGCTGATCCAAATTTGGAAATAAACATCTCCTTCATCTTCAGCAGTCTAGAAGGAACACTGGAATGCTTTAGAAGGAATAAAGCTAGGTAGAATACAGAAAATCCACACCCCAAAATTAGTCCTTAAAGTAACGTGGCTCCAAGTCCACTGAAGTCGATGAAGGCATTCTTTACAACAACAGCTAAATGTAACCTATTTTTTGCTGTCATTGTTACCTTGATTTGTAAAGATAAAGAGTGGGGTAGACTAGTAAGAAAGTTTTAAAACAATTACTTGTTAAAACAGGTTTAAAACAGTTCTTGTTTTAAAATACAACTGAAAACAAAGCCAGGAGACTAGGCCTACATTTTCAAAAGTGATTAGCACTTTAGATATGCAACTTAAAAAAGCAAAGGGGGCCTGATTTTTCCCAGTGTAGCTGCTCTAGGCTTCTAAGAGCACAATACATCTCATATGTATCAGTCAAACAATGAAGCATCCAAAACTAGTAGCCATTTCTGAAAATGTAGGGTTTTCTCTGCCAGCTAATTTAAAAAGAAGGTGTGTTGGCATACAGAAGATTGGATAAATGGAAAAAATAAAAAGAAAGGTGACAAAACACAGATTTGGAGTAAATAATACTTTGCAGTTCTGTAACACTTACATTGCAAATTAGCTTAATCAAATACTACATTTCCAAAACTAAATGATATTCTTTCCATATGAGTGGGGTCCTAAATAGATGCTACTACTCTTCTATTCTAAACAAAAATGTGTATTTTAATTAGGGATAAGGGATGGAGTCAAATTGTTTTTTGCATTCTCACTTCTATCAGTTTCTGTTTCTGTATTTATATAACACGTGTACAAATACACGCATACAGAAATCCAAAAGTACCATTTTAGCAGGGATCCATCTGAGCCCCGCACTTACCAGCACAACGACTGCCGGCGTGCTCCACAGGCAGCGTACTCCCGCTCGGCCCCAAGAAGAGCGGCGAATCCGTGGGCTAATTTGCTCCCTCTTCCTTGATGGGACAGACAGCTAGCAGGCAGCGTGCTCTCCACAGACCTATTTCCCAGGCCAGAATGAGAGCCAGATGCTGGGCTCCACAGGGACCCGGGCTCCACGGAGGCCTGGGACTCCAGGCCCAACCTGGAACTTCCTGCATAAGGCCCCACCGGCCTCAGAAAGGGGGGAACACTGGCATAGGCGTTGGCCCACATCACATCCCACCCCCAGCAGAGCCAAGGACCCACACTTGAAGACCAGCTCGATGATGGCTCTTCCTGCAGAACCCTGACCATCATGCAGTCACTGGAGGTCAGGTACCTTTAGGGGCTCTATGGGGTCTCATGATACCTGTGGCCCCAGGCTACCTGAAGGGCTTGGCTCGAGACAAGATTGGGTTCATAACAGGAGATGAACCCATAAGATTGTGAGAAATTCTAGCTTCCTTCTTCTGTTTGCAAACAAGTGAGGCCCAACCCAAGAGCATCACACCACAGACAATAAATGAGTCACTGGCAAGTAAAAAGAGGTGAAGCCATTATTTTGGTGCAGCACTAGGGGCTATAATTCCCTGATATAATAGTGAGTCACTTCTGAAAAACTTTCAGTTAGTTACACACCAAACCATTAACTTTTTAATAAAAACAAGTATATTAGGTAGTTTGTAAGTTTTGTACCATTGTCCTGATATATATTTTTGAAGATATTTGTAAATCAACAATTCTCTGATCATAAACTACTTATGAGTTCCACAAGTTGTATGCAGGTAAAAAGGATTTTCCTTCAATTATAAAACATAATGTCTTTAAATGCTGCTGTTCATATACTAAGAGAAAGATAAACAGAAATACTAATTTACTTTTTATAATTAATTATTTTTTATGTTTCTGTAATGTCTCTTTTTCTTCTCCCCTCTAAGCAATCTATCACTTTCTAAAAATGGAAGCCCTTCATAGGTCATCCATTTGTGAACACCTGTTCATTATATTTTATATTATTCTCATAATTTAACACAGTATTGCAAGTGAAGATGCATTTTTAAGGAATTATAATATTTTCCATTCTATTTTATCTGCCATTTCTCACATATCCTAAGGGTTAGTTTGTTTTTTACATACCCCCCCTTGCATTTTTAATATAGGCTTTCAGTGAGCCCAGATATTTGTCCTGAGTAGTTAATTTAGAACACAGCAATGGGCATTCAGTTTAAGTTATTTCTTCCAATATGTATTTTGTATTTGTCAACACCAAATTTAATATGCAGTCTTGCTTCATGGTCACTAAGGTTTACTATCTCTCTCAGTTTTTACATATACTTCTCTATCTTTTATGTACCATCATCCACAAATTTTGCCACCTCAGTGTGGAGCCCATTTTGCATCACAAACGTGACAATACCTCCTAAAAATATCCCACTGTCCTTGCAGTCCTGTTAAGATGCTCGCATGCCTTATGTGTCAATATCCAGAATGCTTTGATGTAAAAGCCATTTGTACATAGTTGCTGATATTTAAAGTCTGAGAACAAATAAAGCCATCTTTTAGCCATATTTGTAGAAGCATTGGATTCTTTTTAAAGTCTTATTTGTGAGCAAGACTGATGATCATCTACTTATAGACTATGGCCAACATTCTGAAAGATGAGTGCTTAAACGTAGGCACTGATTCAGCTCTGATTGTCAGAGACACTGGGCAAACTCAACTCCCATTTTCTTTACACATCCAAGTTTAAAAATGTTGATCTGGACCTGTGAATGAGAATCAAGTGAAATGCAGTCAAGGTTCTTTGAGTAGATGCCCATGGTGGGCAGCAACTCCCTCCTGAGAGTCACGGAGGGGCCTATCTGTCAACCAGATCCCATGGCATGGGATGAATGCTGCCTCCCCAGAGCCAGGATCTGGGACATGGCGAGGATTCCCGACCTCATCCAGCTCTCCGATTACTACCCCATGGTCCTCGTCCATTGGGCACGAATGATGCGGCTAGGAGTAGTCCAGACCGCATCATGAGTGACCACAGAGCTCTGGGGGCCAGGCTTAGGAAGTCGGGGGCACAGGTGGTCTTCTCATCCATGCTTCTGGTTAGCAGTCGCCATCAGCATCAGGACGCCTGCATCAGGGAAGTCAACCTGTGGCTTCAGAGTTGGTGCCATCATATGGGTTTTAGCTTCTACAACCACTATCCGCACTTCCATAAGAGAGTTATCCTGGGACAAAATGGTCTTCATCTCTGTTCTAAAGGTAAGAGTCTGTTCTCTTACAGGTTGGCTGATCTCCTCAGAAGGGCTTTAAACTAGGTGCATCAGGGGACAGGGAAGCGGAGGATGAGGAGAACCTAGGATCAGCGAGCCATGAGCAATGCACTGGATCAGTCCAGGTAAGCACTAAAGTAAGCACTAAGGGGCTCAATAAACATCAGGACAGGGGGGTACCACACCCATCATGGGGCTTAAATGTCTCTACACTAATGCTCTACACTAAAGCATGAGGAACAAGCAGAAGGAACTTGCACTCCTGCTTGCAAGCAACAACTTCAACCTGGTTGGACTAACTGAAACCTGGTGAGACCCTACTCACAATTGGGCAGTAGGCATTGAGGGTTACAGGTTGTACAGATGGAATAAAGTGGGGGGTAAAGGGGAGGGTTGTTGCTGTCTATGTTAAGGAACAATATACACCCTCTATAATCAAGATGGGATCAGAGGAGGGCCAAACTGAGGTACTGTGGCTCAGGAGACAGTGGGTCAGGGGGAAAGGGACTTGGTAGTGGGGGTCTACTATAGACCGCCACACCAGGAGAATGAGCTAGACCTGGAATTCTCCAGACAGCTCTCAGAGCCCTACGGTCGAGAGATATGGAAGTCATGGGTGACCTAAACCACCCTGACATCTGCTGGGAGGAGCAGTCCGCCAAATCTAACCACTCACGTAGGTTCTTAACCTGCATACAGGACCTCCACCTAATGCAGGAGGTATACAATCCCACTAGGGACTTGGTGTTAGCTACAGGAGATGACCTGGTGGGGAATCTGCAGGTACAAGGTAACCTAGGGAATAGTGACCATTGATTGATTGAATTCACTATCCGGCAAAGTTTGGGTAAACTAACCAGGAGGGCTGAAGTGCTAGACTTCAAAAAAAGCTAACTTCAGTGTGCTCAGGAGATTAGTTCGTGAGGCATTAAAGCTCAAGAGCATTGGCGAAATGGGGATCCAGGAAGGGTGGTTGTTCCTCAAGGGAGCAATCCTACAGGCACAGGAGACGATTTCATTGCACATAAATGGAGCCAAAGGGGCCAAGACGCTCTCTTGGCTGAACAAGGAAGTCCAGGAAAGCCTAAGGGCAAAGAGGGAGTTATACAGGCTGTGAAAACAGGGGGGAACTACCAAGGAAGAGTATTCCTCCCTGGCTCACACTTGCAGGGAATCATTTAGGAAGGCCAAAGCAGGATTAGAGTTTAGGATGACGACAAAAATTAAGGACAACAAAAAGTCCTTCTTCAGGTATATAGGGAGCAAAAGGAAGGCACAGGATAGCATAGGACCCCTACAGGACAAACTAGGGCAATTGGTGACAGAGGGGGGGGGCCAAAGTTGAGCTCTTCAATGAGTTCTTTGCATCTGTATTCCTAGACACAGACCAAGACAAATCTCCCAATTGGATCATAGATAGACACAGGAGGGACACCAGCCCACCAACTGTTAGCACAGACTTAGTGAAAGGGCACTTAGACAGGCTGGATGTATTCAAATCAGCAGACCCGGATGAACTTCATCGAGGGGTGCTGAAGAAACTGACCAGTGTCATAGCACAGCCACTGGCACGGCTGTTCGAACACTCAGGGTGCTCCAGTCAGGTCTCAGAGGACTGGAAAAGGACCAATGTGGTCCCTATTTTCAAGAAGGGGAGGAGGGAGGAACCAGGAAACTATAGGCCGGGTAGCCTCACCTCTATCCTTGGGAAAACTCTGGAAAAAATCATTAAGGATAACATTTGTGGGAGCCCAGCAGGGAAAATAATGCTGAAAGGAAATCGGCACAGACTCATTGCAGGTAGATCCTGCCTGACTAACCTTGTTTCTTTTTATGACCAGGTCACAAAATGCTTAGACGCAGGAATCGAGGTACATGTTACCTACCTAGACTTTAAAAAGGCCTTTGATACGGTATCACATTCCGTTCTCATAAATAAACTGACAGGCTGTGATGTGGATGATTACACGGTCAGGTGGGGGGCAAATTGGCTTAGGGGTCGCACCCAGAGTGGTGGTGGACAGGTTGATATCAACCTGGAAAGATGTGCGCAGTGGAGTCCTGCAAGGCTCCATTTTTGGATCAGTGCTATTCAATGTCTTCATCAGTGACTTGGACGAGGGCGTGGAGAGCACCCCATCCAAGTTCACAGATGATACCAAATTATGGGGCAAAGTTAGCACAGCAGAGGGTAGGGAACAGATCCAGGTGGATCTGGACAAGTTGGAACAATGGGCAGAACGAAACAGGATGCAATTCAACAAAGCCAAGTGCAAAGTGCTGCACCTGGGCAAAAAGAACCACCAGCACACTTACAGGCTGGGGGATGACCTTCTCAGCAGCACAGCAGTGGAAAGGGATCTTGACTCCAAGATGAACATGAGTCATCAACGTGACCAAGTGATCAACAAGGCTAACCACACTTTATCATGCATTAGCAGATGCATCATGACCAGGTCCAGGGAGGTGATGCTTCCCCTCTATGCGGCAATGGTCAGGCCGCAGTTGGAGTACTGCATCCAGTTTTGGGCGCCGCACTTCAAGAGGGATGTAGAGAATCTCGAGAGGGTCCAGAGGCAGCCACTCATATGCTCAGA